ACATGCCTCTATAAAAAAAAAAAAAAAAAAAAACCATGCTGGGAAGGGCCAGTCAGGAAACATGAATTGAGAAATCTGAACAACCTCTTAGACATGCCCTGGTCATGTATGGGCTAGGAGGAGGCTTTGCAATTCTAGAAAGGTCTTTGAGTCCACGTAAAAATACCTTTTATGCGCATTGGGGAATTGGGATTTTTGCATGACCGTTTTCTTGTCAATTGACTCTTTGTGTCCATCCCCATGAAGAAGTTCCCTCTGCGAGTCAGACATTGTAAGTTTCCTGAAGGTTTCCCTAAAACTTATTTTATTCATATCTTATAGATTTAACCTGCACAAAATCATCAGTTGTTGATGTCAAGGCCCTGTCTCTGGCCAGATCTAATCCAGAAGAAACAGCAATTGACAGTAAGTAAGCCCTGACTGTCTTCTCTCTACACGGCACATTCATAACACAGTTTTCTGCAACCCTCTTGCCGTACTGCCTCCCTCTCAAAATCCCACACAGCTCTTGTGGGAATCGCTCCCCCCACCGCCACCCCCACTCTAAGACCCCAGTTTGCACAGGGGCTTCTCCCCTCCTCACTTTCTAGGTCTGTGTTTTTCTCCCTTGAAAAGACGTTCTGCCTTTACGATCAGCCTAGTTCGTTTGCCTTTTGAAGTTTTTTTTTCCACTTGTCCCCGACCTTTGGACCCGTCCCTGCAACCACCACCAGCCAGACTCGGCCATGCGGAGCTGCCACTCCGAGGGAGGGAGACGGGCTCACGCATCCGGTTTACAACGTGGGTTGTCAGCGCAGCATCCACGGTCTGGGAGGGGAAGGAGCGAAGAAAAGAATTTGAAGTTCTTTTTGTCTCTGCACTTACCATTCTGGGAAAACCATCGTGGCTTCTGAATGTCACTGTGTCTAACTCAGAGAGAGGCACTTAACTGCCCTAAGGAGACTAGCACCTTTGTTTGAAAAATAGAGAAGGAAAAACTATTCAGTTTTCGTCATTTAATATGATTTAAGAGATATCAGAATTCTGTTTTAGTTAATACACGATGCTCTGTGTGTCCTTTCACAGGCATACCTGAAGGCACGAGATACCAAAGCGATAACCTCAAGCCAAAGGTCAAAGGATGTGGGGTGGGGGAGGGGGGCCTCCCTGGTGGCTCAGGGATTAAAGACACAGCTGTCAGGCTGTCGCCAGCCTCTGCAGCACAAGTTCGATCCCTGGCCGTCCAGGGAGCTACCCACAGGGCACAGCAGACCTCTCCTGTCTCCCCACTGCTCCCCTCAGCAGTGGGTTTCAGTGGATCCGCCTGTTCTGCTCCCCACTCTGTCTCTGGGGAATCCTTTTACTCCCCCCCACCCCGCACCTCTGGTCTGCACCCCAGTTCTTGCATGCATGCATAAATAAATCTAAATAAGAAAACAAAAAACAAAGCACAAAGGTCGAGGGATGAAAATGTGGCCAGAACAGGCTGGTGACCAGGTCCACTGTGTCCTCTCACGTGTACCTCAGATTCCTTTATTCTCCTGGAATCAAGACCCCCTCTGCCATCGGACAGTCCTTCCATCTTCCTTCCAGGAACTCAGGGTGTTTGCCGAGAGCATGGGGTGTCCTGTCCAGGACACGGGACACAGCAGGCAGGTCTCCAGGTCTGGGGAGGAGAGAGGCTGTGTCCTGAGGTCTGGCAGGAAGACTGCGGGGTGAGGCGGGGTGCATCCCCCACCTACTCCAACCTGCGGGGCCACCTGCTCGACGGAGAGTCGAGCCCAACGTCCTCCGGATGTTCTAAAATCACAAACCAGTGCTTCCAGGGGCCCGGGGGTCATTGTGAGGACCCCAAACAGCACCTGCCTATTAAGAATCCTACAGAGCAGAAAGGAGGGCAGAGCATCAGACAGAAGGAGGTTAGAAGCCCACGGCCGTGACCGTGAGGACAGGAAGGTGGGACAAGTTGGGGAGACACCATAGAAGCAGAAGTGGGGTGTAAATATGCAGAGAAAGGAGGTCATCACAGGAATTCTAGGACATGGAGGGAGGCGCTGCTACAAGGAACTCAAAAGCGAGAGATGGCTGTGGTCAGACAGATGGGGGTGCTAAGCCCGGGGGCCACGTGGTGCTGAGACCCCAGGTGGGGTCTGGATGCAGACGCAGGCTCCTGTCTGCCACGGCATGGCGTTCCCCAGAGGTGGGGCCCGCCTTCCCCGTGGTGGGCCAGGATGGGTGGGTGCAGGCGCGAGGAGGGGGTGCATCTCCTCTGCGGATATTGCAGAAGCTGCTCTGGACTCTGGGTTGTGAGGGGGCAGCTTGTGTGGGCTTCCCAGGGTCCCACCACGAGGAGTTCGCGTTTGGCTGGAACATCAGCCAGGGCTGGGTCCAGCAAGCGGCAGCAGCCCTGGGGTCTTCAGGCCCCTAATGTCCTGTGTGTGTGACGGGGAAGCTGCTCTAAGTCACGGTCTGTGAGACTGTGGGGAGTGTCTAAGTACAAGGAGCCCCAGAGAGAGACCAGCACCCCAGACCAGGATACGTGGAAGAAGGTTCTGGAGGGCGCGGGAAGGATCGAGTGCGGGTGTTTGGAGAAGTGAGACTTCTCTGGGAGGAGAGACGGTCATCTGAGAAGCAGGGCCAAACGGGATGGCCTCCGTCACCTCGAGGATGCCAGGACCCGCTGCCTGGGGGCGAGCCGGCCTGTCACCCCACGAGGGACCAGAGCTGGTCAGGAGACCGGCTGGGTGGAGTTGCGAGCAGAGGAGTCTCTCGTTTTCACCCCCCAGCACTGACCCCCAATGTCGTCCACGCCCAGGGTCATCGCTGAGCGGGCAACGCCAGCTTTAGACACCTGCTCCCCCGGGGTGACTTCCTGCCTGGACCCGTGGACGCACCTCAGGGGGCGCGGCTGGGCCTGGCGAAGGCGACGCTTCAGGGAGACAGACGCGGTGCTCTCGGGGGAGGCTGGGACGGGGATCCTTAGGACCCGCGGAGTCCCTGACCGGTCATGTAAGATGGCCACTGGCCACTGGAGTGGGCCGTGGCCCACTGGCCCCACCGACCCCAGGACCAGCAGCCGCCCCCATGGCCCCGGCATGTCCACAGTGTCCTCCTGCCAGTGCCACCCGCAGGGGCAGCGCCTCAAGCAGACGGCTCCTGCCCCAGGCCCCCGGCCCCGCCCCGGTAACCCCTCTCATGAGGGACCTCACAGCCCAAGAGGCAAACCCGAGGCTCCTGCTGGGGGGACTGCAAAGGCAGAGGCGGCCCAGTGGAATGGGGGCGCCGCAGACTGTGGGCCCGTGACTTACCAGTCCTGGCTCCAGGGGCTACTTGACGCTGGGAGAATCTGGGAGCGATGGGCCCCGCTCCAAGGCCTCACAGGGGCGCTGCTGTCACGGCTCGCACCTCCAGGTGCAACCCTGTTGTTGGGTCCCGGCCGCAGGCCCCCGAAACCAAACAGTGGTTCTGAGTTGGGTTTCTCCTTATTGTTGACCTCATACGGCGCTGGACGTCCTTGCTCGACGCTTCCGGAAGAGAGCTCGGCGGAGGACGCAATGTCGGGAGACCCGCTTGAGTTAAAATTGTGTGGGCTACCAAGACAGGCTGAAGGGGAAAAATCTGGGACTGAAAAGCTTCACCTGGAGTGTGACTGACGCAGGCCAGGCGCGGGCGCGGAGCGGGGGCCTCTCCCCTTCACAAGAGGAGGGGCCGGGGCGGGTTTTCTAAATAACGGTTTTCAAATGACACCTGCATTTGCCTGCTCCCAGGTGTGGCGGACCCCAGGTGTGCCTGCTCCCCAGGTGTGCCTGCTCCCAGGTGTGGCGGACCCCAGGTGTGCCTGCTCCCCAGGTGTGGCTGACCCGGGCAGTGAATTCCACAGGTCGGGTGACTTTGTGCAGGCTTGGGGGGGGGTGGCAGTGAGGGGTGCGGGTGGGAACCGCTCCTCAGCCGCTACTGTTGATGGCCGTTCCCTCATGAGTCACTGAGCAGAAAAGACAGCACTGACCCCTCAGGGAGCGGGCCCTCTAGTGGGGAGACAGGCAGGAACCCCACAAGTAGTCACGTGCGTGCTATGTTCAGGAGCGGTGGGCACAGGGGAGGTGTTGCGGGGGGAGGGGTGGAGAGGAGCTGGGCTGCCCAGGGAGGCTCCATGGAAGAGGGGCCTTGAGGGAAGTGTACGAAGAACAGCGGGGCGGGCAGAGCCACCAGCTGGGAGGTCCTTGCAGGTCGCTGGGCTGGACTGCGAGCTGCCTTAGCTGTGGCGCAGCCACAGAACTCCTGAGCAATGTGAAATCCAAACATCTTCCCGGCAATGGGAGGCCTGCAGCGGGTCGGTGTGTTGCTGCTGGGGCCTGGCCACTCTGAGCCCGGCCTCTTTGTCAAGAGGCCTCTGTTTGAAAAGGGAGTGGGAGGCCTCTAGGTTCTGGGCTAGGCAGGAAGGCTGCTCATAGAACCAGGAGGGGTGTGAGCCAAGCTGGGGGTGCAAGCAGAGACTCATCTTCCTGAGATTCTGCCCAGCCCATTTTCTCCACCCCAGCTCTTCCAAATCCACTTGGTCAAATTCCTTGGAAAGAAGCAGTCAAGTTTGGGGCCTCCCTGGTGATGCAAGGGGTTAAGTCTCAGCACCATGAAGCTATTTGCAGCCACTGCAGCACGAGTTCCATCCCCGGACAGGGAGCTACCCACAGGGCGCAGCAGACCCCTCCTGTCTCCCCGCTGCTCCCCTCAGCAGTGGATTTCAGTAGACCCACCTGTTCTGCTCCCCACTCTGTCTCTGGTGACCCCTCTCAGTCCCTGCACCTCTGGCCTTCACCCCAGCTCTTGTATGCATAAATAAATAAAACTTTAAAAATTAAAAAAAAAAAAGAAGCAGTCACGTGTCTTCACAAGTCTCCGTGACCATCTGAGTGACGTTCAGGTAATTCAAGAGCAGAGTTACTGGTTGGAAAACCTTCATTTCTTGGCTCATGTGATAGGGACAGCTTAAACTGTTTTGGGAAATTGTTTTTATGATAAAGTGGTATTTTCACATCGCCCAAAACATGAGAAGTAGAGACAAATAAAAATTCGCATATAATTTTTTCATACAACAAGCGACACGGGATGGATGGTCTTCAATCGCTTTTTCTTAGAATTTGTTTCTCTTTTAAATAATCTGATTACAATATTGATGCAATTTTGGTAAAATCCTTTTCACTTACTGTTATATTGTAAAGATATTTTCAAGTTGCACAATCATTTTCATATCCAAACTGATTAATGACTCCATGAAAACTACAGTTTGGAATGAGATCTGGAAAATTACTTTGTTAATTAGCATTCGGGACACCATGATGAAACCCTGAAAACTGTCATTTTAGAAATCTGTTGGCACAGAAAGCAGCTTATCATATGTTTCTACGAGGAAATTAGTGAGACAGGTGAAGCAATTAGTTTTCGGCTATGGGTTTGGTTCTTGGCCTTTCTGTAATGAGCATGAATAATGGGATAATTCTAATCTCATAGAAAGAAAAACGCAAGAAACACTTTACAGGGAATAGTATGGAGTGAGATTCAATGCTGCAATACGTTCCTCAAAAATGCCACCGAGGGCACTGTTTGGCTTTGGAACTAAGAACCCCAGAATCACGGATGAAACAAACCACCCGTGGAGAGAAGCAGTGGGGTTTGCCTTTGTGCCCGCTGGGCTTTCAGGAGGGTGTGCCCGTGGCAGGCGGGTGATGCACACAGGGCAGGGAGTGCAAGCAGCGACTGCAGCAAGGCCCCGGCGCTGGGACCAGGTTTGCATCTGTGCAGACGGCCTCAGACGGTCATGGAAAGCAGTGATGAGCCAGGGACACTGGCCAACGGCACGAGGCTGAATCCCTCAGCTGTGAGTCAGGCTTGCAGACAAGCTTTTCACTGGTGTGTGTTTCCAAGTAGATTTGCTCAGAATTCAAGAATGAGTCCCCTAGGTGTGGAACCAGGGGTGAGCCGACCTGGCAGTAGGGGTGGCGGATGCAAGGAGAGTATAATAGTATACTGGCAGGAGTTCTCGGGCCTCCCTGGTGGTGCAAGGGGTAAAGTCTCAGCACTATGAAGCTATCGCCAGCCACTGCAGCACGAGCTCCATCCCCGGCCAGGTTGCTGCCCACAGGGTGCAGCAGACCTCTCCTGTCTCCCCGGCTGCTCCCCTCAGCAGTGGATTTCAGTAGATCTGCCTGTTCTGCTCCCCACTCTGTCTCTGGTTAGGCCTCTCACCCTCTGCCCCTCTGGCCTGTACCCCAGTTCTCGTATGCATAAATAAATAAATAAATGTTTAAAAAAAATTAAAAGGAGAGCAAGCAGGGCTTCCCTGGAGCTGGGAAGGCAGAGAAAGGGCATTTCCTCCCAGGCGACTCGCTCAAGCTGGGAGGGGGCACAGGGACACCCCCTCTTCCCTTCACACCTGCGTCTGTTGAAAACATCTTCCAAGACGATGGAGAGCTGGTTGGGTGTGTTTATTGATCACTTGAGTACAGCCTTACACACAGTTGCCAAGTATTTCTTCACACATTTCAGAGAAAAAGAAACGTCTGCAGAGAGGGTTCCTGTGCTCATGGAGGGTCATGTGCACTGACCCTGATCACAGGCAACAGCCTCATTATAGTGGTTTGTGATTCGTGTTCACTGATAGTGGCTGTTTTCCCTGGAACTTATCTTGAGAATCAATATTCTATTCTGAACACCAAAGCAAAGCAAAGCAAAGCAAAGCAAAGCAAAGCAAAGCAAAGCAAAGCAAAGCAAACCAAAGCAAAGCAAAGCAAAGCAAAGCAAAGACCTAAGCCCACCAGAGGGAAGGAGAAGAGACTGAGGGGTTTCTGTGGCATCTGAACCCCAGAGCCAATCCCTGTTCAGGGCCCACGAGCCTCACAGCCTGTGGGGATGAGGCAGCAGGATGGAGGGGCCCGTGCTGGACATCATGGGAGCTGACCGGACCTTGCCTGTCGGGTGACAGCGAAGAACTGCCATTGCTGGATGTCGGTGGTGGTGGTCAGGCCTGAACCTTCCTCTTCACTCAGGGCCTCAGGCTCTCCGTGCTCCCCGCGTGGTGCCGGGGCTCCCTGGCTAAGTCCGGCAGCAGCGGGCCAGGTGGGGTAGTTGGACTCTCTGAGAGTGAAGCTAGAAGGGGGGTCCATGTTGATGCCCAGAAACAGGGGCAGGAGGGGCAGGCTGCACTGTCCCTGGTGGGGTGGAGACAGCGGACCCACGAGGCAGTTAGGGGCCAAGGACAGGCGCCCTTGGGGAATTGTCTGAGGTCATCCCCCCGGTGCTGCTTTGGCAAAGAGGAGCCTTGCTACTGAGTCATCCTTTCCAGAGTCTCTAAATCCCAAAGGGACCCCTGGTGGTAGTGAAAACTCATTATGCCCTCAGTGAAGGTCACAATCTCTCCCTGACAACGCAGACGATAGGAACAGACGGTGGATGTGGCTTTTCCTGCACGTGCAAATGGGGTTGGCTGCAGCTCGTGCAGACAGCTCGTGTGACGTGTTGTATGTATAAGAAAAAAGATGGAAGCTTTGGAAACATTCAAATTCACCTGTGTTACCATGAGGGACTATCTGTGTGCAGGGAAGAGAAATCTTGGAGTAATCCATGGGGTGGGCAAACCCTGGGGGGTGTGCAAATCGGGGAAGCAGAGTGGGGTTCAGCAAGAACGTCGTCTCTTCTGATAGACGAGGTTTCATTCTGAGGCCCCAGAAGTGCTCCTTCCTTAAAGACTCAGCTCAATAACCTGCACTTTTGTTAATACTGGACACCGTGAAATCATTTCTAAGAAATGTCTCCTTATCCATTAAATGCCCAGTGAAGCCAAATTTATATTAGCTTACTCTTTAAGCTGTGAAATGAATATTTAAACTCAAATGGTAGATCCTGTAATATTTTCAGGAAAACAATTTTTTTCTGAAGTTGCTCATCGTTAAAAGGAAGGAAGTCGGGGTTTGTTCTCTTCCCTGTTATTTAAACATTCAACATTCAAGCTGACGTTCACAACTCCTCACTTAGCTGACAGGCTGATTCCTGGGTAGCTGATGTTCATCATTGCAAATAAAGAGAGAATTCTAGGGGATAAACACATATTTTTGACTATGGTGGCTCTTTGGGAATAGATGCTTCTTGAAAATTTAAGTACAAGCACTGCTCCTGAAGGCCCAAACGCAGCCTGAGGCACCCACCACGGTTCAGCATGCAGAGAACCACTGGACCAGGCCAGGAAGTGGCTGTGCACCTCACCAGAGGCTTCTGCCCAGGGTTCACCAAAGAGAAAATGCAGAAAATCAAACCTGAGAAGACCCCCTGCACCCCCCGACCCCCGTGGGCTTGCCCACCTGGCTTGGATGCACAGAAGCTGACCAGCTGCACAGAAGCATGTCCCCTCGGCCCAGATTCCAGTCTGCCCCCAAGGCCTGAATATTCCAGCTGCTGCTCTCGGCCTGGCCATGGCCAGGGCCCGGGGCTCTCCTGTACCGCTGTCCGGTGAGTCTGCAAAGAGCTTCGGGTGGGCGTGCACCCGTGTGCCTGACTGCAAGTGGCGTGTGTGTGGATGTGTGCACGATGTGTGAGCACCTGCGCAGTTGCATGTCATGTGTGCATGATTGCACAAGACATGCTCACACTTGTGCACACATGATTGAGTGCAATGGCGCATGATTACATGTATGCGCAAGCTCACAATGCGCAGGCGATTGCACTGATGTTCACATGTGATGTGTGTGAGAACGTGTATGATTTATGAATGAGACGTGTATGTGCTCTGCACGCTGGGAGCAAGGAAAGGACACGAGGCAGGCGTGGTGCTTCCGAGGCGGGCGCTGGGCGCGGCTACACGTCGAACCAGTGGTCCCCCATGCAGACGCGGTTCCACTCGCAGCCGCAGTTCCAGCACCACTCGAGCTGGCACTGGGGCTGCGGGCACTTCATGTGCATGCATCCTCCTGCGGGCAGACAAGGGCACGGCTGAGCACACTCACCACGGCAACAAGCCTCCGGAATTCACTAAGGGAGTTGGCATGAGCCACCCAAGGCTGAGTCCTCCCTGGGAGACAGACCAGGAAGCGCCCGGGGGGAGCTGGGGCCACCTCCATGAGGACGTGGGGAAGCGGCCTCTGTTACCTTCACCCCCACCAGCTTCACTGTAAATCTGCGTTTATTGACGTCTCTCGAATGGAGTTTAGGGACAAAGCCGGTGTTCCACAGACAGGGCTCACCCCCTAGCCCATGTTTACAATGGAAATAATCCACAATTTCCTTGCAGCTGTGTTGAAGGAAGTACTATGTTCTGGGACGCCACTGAATCTGAAAGGGGCCATGAATGAGTCTCAAAACAAGACAACGAAACTTCCGGCCAACAAAGACAACCTGTTTCGGCTGCAGGGATGAACTAGTCGGCTGCGGTGAGGAGCTTAGAGCATCAGCTTCTCGGCTCACAGGTGAAAGTCTTGAAGGGAAAAACTAGAGCTTCCCATTTTTAGAACATTCCAACAGACCCAGATTAGGAACCCTCGGTCCTCACGGATTTCTTGACTGAGATCCACGGTCGTGTCTGCCAGTGTGGATGGATGTGAGGGCAGATCTGACGTGCTGGTTCCCTGCTTCCCCCGGGACGGAGGAGCCCAGATCCCAGAATCACGCCTGGGCCTGCTTGTCTGTCGGGGCCCCCGCTCTCTCCTCCCCGTGATGTCAGCCTGTGCTCCGGCCCTGCCTGGTCGAGCAGCTCCAGGCCACTGGCTTCCCGCAGGCCAGGGCTCTCGGCTTATGCCTGGCCCCGGACCGGCAGGGACCAAGGTCAAGTCGACTTGACGGAGTGATTCCCTCACTTCCCCACTAGCATCTCCAGACCCCAGATGACCACGGAGGATGCTGGGAAGTACTGGAACAGGGAGGTTCCCGAACCTTCTGCTATTCGTTCGTGAACAACCCCAGAGACAAAGGATGGAGGTGGACGCTAATAGTGCAGGCAGCGGGCGTTTTCCCCGTGCGGCTCCCTGCCAGGCGCCCTCCTGTGACTGCCGCGGGGGCAGCTTCTGTCCTCATCTCAGAAGGTTAAGAGACAAGGACAAGGGCCAAAGTGCAGAATCCAGCCAGGGGGCCTCCACGTCTGGGGCTCACCTGCCCAGGTAACCCTCTAGGCTCCTGATGGCTACGTGGCCCTCGGCCCGGACTCACCGTTCTTCTCCACGGGCACACGGCAGCGGGGGCATGGCTTGGTGATGTTCCTGATGGTCTCCTTGGAGGCTTCCTCCCACCGGGCTTGCTCTGCTGCCTTCTCATCCACCCTGTAGGCCTGGGAGGCAAGGACAGAGAAGCTGAGCTGCAGGCCTTTTCGTTGGGGTTCAGTGCAGCTCCCCTAAGGGCTGTGAAAGCCCCTGCGGGTTAGCTGCTCAAACATGACTTGACCAGTGGGCTCTGGGCAGCCTGGACTCGGCCTCTGGGCACAAGGCCGGGCTCTCCCGCCTGCAAGCTGAGAGACCCGGCAGGCGCTGCGGGGGGAGTGGTGGAGGATAAGAACAGAAAAGTCGGAACAGAGGCGCCACGAGACCAGAAACCTGGCTCGCACGATGCTGGGAGCTGGAGTTGGGGGAAGGGACTAACTTAACCCGTAACCCGGCTATGGAAGCAAACACCCTCAGGCGCCGATGTCCAGGTCACGGGCACGAGATCCGAGCAGGCATCAGACCTCTGAGCGCAGGCCGGAGGGGAAGCTATGGAGACTGAGGGCCGGTGCAGAACTCAGGTCCCTTTCAAATGCTACCTGGCTACTCAAGGTCAACAAAAGTGAACCACAAAGGAACACTCTCTGCCCTGGCATGGGGTGGTGGCCCTTCTGCCCGCCTGGGCCTAGGCAGGACTCCACGCCGCCAACTCTCCCACTGCAGGGCAGCGGCCTCCTGCCCGCCTGTGACCTGTGGGCTTGCCGGGGCTTCTCCTCACTGACCTCCCTCGGCCGGGGCAGCTTCCTCCCAAGGCCGCCGGCCCCGGGACGTGCAAGAATCGCTGTTAGGAAGCTGTCCCTTTCGGGCAGCCCGCGCTGCCCACTGGTGCCCATGCAAGTGTCTCTATTCTCTCCCTTTTCATAATAAACCTGCCCTTGTGGATGCAACTAACGTGTCTGTGTCGTGGAGAAACTCGCCTGGGAGACTCGCCGGTGCCGCTGCAGGGGAGCACTGGGGAAACCTTCCCCCGAGTGAACCCAAGGACCCCTCTCTCCGAGTCCAACAACTCCAGACCCACATCAGTCCCAGCACATTCCGTGTCTCACGGTGCGGAGCCCTGAGGACGCCCCAGCTTTCCCGGCTCCTGGCAGTTTTGCCAGAGGGTGGAGTGAGGGTGGGGGTGCAGGGGGTGCTGGGGAACTTCCACCCTGGTGGCCCCCAAGACTTGGCTGTCATGTTTACCCCTGTTAGTGTGAAAAGGGAGGAGGCCAGGCCCTAGAGCGGGGTCCATGGCAGTTTCTAGCTCCTCAGTGCCTCCCGAGGGGTTGTTTCTGGCTTGGGCCAAACACATGTGGAAAGGCTTCCTGCATGTTGCCCAGTGGAAGGCACTTCCAGCCGGGCGGGTACAATCCTTATTTTCACACAGGACACATGCTTTGAAAGACTCAGAGAGCGACTGCAAGAAACTTTGTAGCTGATAAGTAATAGCCTGTTACTGGAGGATAATGAAGAACTGGAAATCACAAATTTATATGAATATGCTTTGTCCTTTCAGAGAAGAAAGATAAAAATATCAATCAATGGGAGAGGAAGACAAATAATTTCTTCTCAAAATGCCCACATCCTCTGTCTCACTTTCTGCTCCCCAGAGATAAGGGGGTGTGATGGCCACCTGGGAATCCAGCAGAATCCCCCCAAAGAGCTGCGTCTGCACCCCCAGCAGGGAGGCCCTGGCAGGGTGGTGCTGCGCTGCTGCAGGCTGGGGTTGGGGAGAGGCAAAGCCCTCTAGGCGGCTGCGTGTGATCCCGGGATTGGCTGGTGATCCCCAGCCCCCCTGCAACAGTGCAGGGAGCAAGGAGGGGGGCAGCGGTGTGCCTCACTCCAGGGTAAAGGGAAAAAGCAACAACAGCCACTTCTAACATTTTCCTCTTCAAGAATATGCTCTGTCATCGTGCCCGACACAGACTCCACGTTCTGGAGAACGTTGCTGAGGAAGGAACGTGCATGCTTCCCCTCAGGTCAACGGTTTCTCAGGGCCAGAAAGATGGAAACCTCTGTTACTTGTTCTCAGGGCCAGCCAGGATCCGGGGGCCTAGGCTGGGACTCCCGGAGCAGGGATTGCTGCACAGTGAGCGAGGAGGGCTGAGCCGGCTGGAGGGGAGGCGGGGTGGGTGCAGGAGGGACAGAGGGCTTGTGATAAGGTCCTGGTTTGCCTGGTGTGTTAAACTTGGCGTTTTACCCTGAGGTTTTGTTGACAGGAGGGTGGCAGCCCCTCGGGGACTAGCTATTTCCAGAGACAGAAGCTGCCCGGGGTTGGCCTTTCAGCTGCAAACCTGCCAGCTGTGAGCTGCTTCCTCAGGCCCTGAGGCCCTTCCTCAGTCCAGCCCTCAGGCTGGACTGCCCCTGGCCCTCCCCACACCAGGCCCAGGCCCAGACCACCAGGGACCCCCCCAGAGCCCATCCGAAACCTGCCATCCCCCTCACCCTCTGCCCCTCCCCCAAACCCTAAAGGCTCTGGCCTGTGTTCTCCCCGCCCCAGGCCTCCCACCAACCACCAACCCCCAGCCCCCGAGGCCTGAGGCCCGGGAGCATCACCTGCTCCTCCTGAGGACCAGCCCTGCAGGCAGTCACTTGCCACCTCTCACTGTTGCTCCCCTGATAATGGTCTAACAGTGGCCTTCATCAGCACAGGAGAAAACCGGCCTTGAGCTATTGTGCTAAAATGCCCCTTTGCTGGGGCGGAGCCTCCTTTGGACCGTTAGTCACTGAGTGACCAGCGGGGGCCCGAGGGCCGGGCCCTGAACCTTGGCTGGGGCATATGGGCACTGGGTCACGCTCTCCGCCGCTGACGGGGAGGACATGACACTGCTGCCGTCTGTCACGGGCCCTGCTCTCTGTGCCCGGGACCAGCAACAAGGGAGCCAATGGCAAGAGCGGAGCTGAGAGAGCCTGAGGCCCGGCTCCGGTTCTGGACTCTGGCAAACGCTTTTGTTCTAAACTCCGGACGCGATTCTGATGAACAAGCAGTGTAAGCACCGAGGGACCACGGAGACGCACAGCCCAGCATGGGGCGTCCCCAGGGGCGCTGAGCAGGAGGCCGCTGACTGAAAGAGAGCGTGCAGGCCCCGCAGGAGGCGAGGGCGGGAAGGAGCCAAGGCCGGGGACTTGAGCCCAGTGTTCGGGCAGACGCGGCCCAGGCCACTGAAGTGCTGGGCCGGCCGCCTCTGCGGGGGGTGCGAGGTTCTGTGCCAGCGTGTGGGGAGCACTGCCAGGGCCTGCTGCCTGTCCCCCCACCGCAGGCTGCCCCCTGAGCTGCAGCAACCCCCTCACAGTCGGCCGTCGTGGCTCCGAGCCCGCAAGCAGCCGTGACCTCGTGTGCGTGCTCAACCGCGAGCAGGGGCTCAGGGCGTGTCCACCCGGCACAGTGAAGGTGTCCACAGCGCAGCCACCGGTGCCCCAGGGCCCATGCGCCGGCTCTCAGCGGGCACCCCGACCCGATAACAGCAGGTCCTTGGTGACAAGGCTCCTCTCTCCGGATCCCAAGCCCAGTTGGGTGATAAGAGGCACACATGGGCCCCCAGAAGGCGGCCTGGGGGCAGGCCCGGAATGTCAGGAGGGACTCGTGGGTGCTCAAGAGGACAGATGAAGGAGGTGCCTGAGCAGGTGCTTTGTCAAAGGACGGGAGAGTGCTGGGACCACCTTGGGCGGCGGGCGGGGCAGGCCCACAGACCCGCAGATGGGCCTTTCCGGAGAGGACGGGGCAGAAAAGGCAGCAGGCTCCATGATGCCCAGTGGTCAGTGGGAACGTGGGCAGAGGCACAGGGAGCTGGGTGCCCGGGCAAGAAGGTAAGAAGGTAAACAACAGTTTACCTAGTTGGACCCAGAAAGGGTAATGCTCTCCAGGGCCATAAACCCTTAACCTTTGGGCGCATGTTCTGCACAACCACAACCAAAACGCGGACCCTGTCAGCCTCCCTAGAGTGAACTTCTAACTTTCAAGGCCAAGGCCGGGCAGCAGCTGGGCCCTCTCAGCTGTGGGGGTGGGGGATGTGCGTGTCAGGCACCTCTGGGAGCCCCAGCAGGCAGGCCCCAGAACCGCCGCTCAGCCTGGAATGAGAAGCTTCTCGTGCGGTCGCTCTTTGGCCTTGTTGCTTAGGCTGGGACCACCTTCTCCTCCAGAACTTTCTCCTCTGGACTCTGATACTTAAACATGAGTGGCCCCATGAGTGACTGCCCTTACTTCTTGTGTCCCTGTGCTGCAGGCACCTCCAAGGCTTCGGGCACCCGTCCCTCTTACCCAGCCCCCCGGCTCCATCCCCACCTTCTGATGGCCTCCTGGGTGCCTCCAGGGGCTGACGGGACACCTGCAGGCCATGCTCAGACTTTCCCACACACATCTTGTACCCACTTGTCTCCTCCCAGTCATGCAGGGTCCCGCTGCCCAGCCCCCCAGGTGCTCTACCTGCTCCCTGCCCCATGCCCCTCCCCCTTGGACCTAGCGCTGCTCCCCAAAATCCCCCCTGCTCAGAATTGCCCTGTGGCCCTGCCCCAGATTTGGGGATGAGCCACTTTAGAAATGTGGCCCTCGCAGCAGGGATTTGGAGTCACAATGACTGAAACCCACTGCTGAGGGGAGCAGCGGGCGAGACAGGAGAGGTCTGCTTTGCCATGTTGGTTGATCCCTGGCCGGGGATCAAACTCATGCTGCAGAGGCTGTGGATAGCTTCATAGTGTGGTGCTTAACCCCTGCACCACCAGGGAGGCCCCTTTATTGGGAACTTTAAAAAGAGCTTTGTATTCTACTATTATCACAAATTGACGAATGGGTGGGGGGATCTACACTTGAGCAAGGATGATAAGCTACACTGTGCGCTCGTTCATTAATGTAAACAGGATTATTAGTGTAAACAGGATTTTGAACATGGAAGTGTTACTAATCCAAAGAGGAAGCCAGAGAGAGAACAAAGCTCGTCCTTTGTGTAAAGTGTCATACAAAGCAGACTATTGTTTTGGGTAGAGCCGCACAGAAACCTATTCATTCAGAAAACGTGTCGGCTGCCTACGAGGTGCCAGGCACTGCCTCAGGTACTAGGGATCCGTTAGAGAACAGAGGCCCAGACCAAGGAACAAG